CATGTCGGGCTGGACTGGGCTAGGCCGGACGGCGCAAGCTGTCGCTGAGGGGGCGCTCTCCGCCCTCACGGGGAAAGCGGACGCAGAAATACCGCCTTCGCAGCGGCCGTGGCGCCGCGGCCCTTCTGGCTTGATGCGCCTGAGTGGGGGGGCAGTGCTCGTGAGGCGCTGCTGTTGCCGCCGCCTTGCAACGCGGACGAAACGCCTCAGAAAAGCCCGAGGGTTGTTCTGAAGGACAAATCTCACGCGAAAGTTAAGGTTGGTTAAACCGCAGAGTTCAGCAGATAGCTTGCAGCGTTCACCTGCGAAAAGGGGGCATTTTACAGTCTATTAAAAGGAAATTTTTTTCTTAAATCATTTACATTTCAGTCCACGTTAATGCATTGCTTTCCAGGCACCTTTGAATTTGTCCTCAAGAACCTGACATTGCATGTGCAGATGTGACAATGTTAAATACTTTAAGAAAATTACATGTAAGGAAAAAACAGCCAAATAGTTCAAAGAACAGCAATTTACAGTGGAGGTGCAGAGGGCATTTGCAATACAAGCAAGGCTGGTAAAAACACTTCTACCTGCTGCCACAGGCATGTGAATGGTAGCCCTTTGCAAGAGTCCCAAATCCTACTCCTATTACTATTTGATGTGGTATTTGTTAATACATTAGCTAATGAGCTTAAATAATGCAAATTATTACATAAATTTATTCCTTCCAACTTAATTAAGTAGCAAATTGACAAAACACCCTCCATACCAGCCTTGAAAATGGGACCTGCAGTGGGTAACAATGCTGCAAACATGCATACCTGCCTCATGCTTTATTTCTTGCTCTGGGGAACATGTGACTGGCATTAAATGTGCTATGGTGTGGGGAAAAGACTTAAGTATTCTTCCCTAATGCGTATTCTGTGCTCCATGCATGACAAATTCCACAGTTTGAGGGGCCTAAACTTGCTCTTAAGTACTAAGTTTATTAAGCACACTGGTCAGCAAATTAACAGTGGACAGCTTAGAACCAGAGACCCTTTCCCACACAACCCTATTTAAAAAGTGGAAATCTTTGCCAGGTGATATTGCAGATGTCAATTACTCAGGTTTCAAAAAGTGATTGGACAAGTTTGTGGAAGTAAAAAACAAGCAAGGGCTAATAACTACCAGACAACATTTTTTGCTCAGGAAAGTTCTGAACTGCACATCAGTGGAGAATGGGGAAATATACTGAGAAAGTTTGATGCCTACTGGCGCAGCTCTTCCATCTCTTCCCCAGGCATCTACTGGTGGCTGCTAATTTTTACTCCCCCTCAAGAAGAGCACACACACAGTGCCCGCTCCCCCCCGCCTTCCAATGATACAGAAGCATTTCTTGCTTTTGGGGAAATAGCAGGGGTCAATTCACCCCAGGGCTGGGGACCAGCCTCATTTCAGGAAAGTAATTTTCTTCATCGGGGTATAACCCTTGCCACATAATAGGAGAGGACTTTGGATCACTCCTGGCATGGCTATATTTGCTTTGTGAAGATCACTTTTCACACTCACCCAGCCATACTGGCAGGCAAGCCCTAGGTAGATGTAACTGGAGGAAAGGCAGGCAGTAGATCTGTTTCTCAAATCAGAGCAAACAATTAGCAGCAGCTCTCCTGGAGACGCAGGGTTGCCATGATGCCTACCAGGCAGATGCCCTCAGAAATCAAATCCAACTTGATTACAAGCCTCACAGCTGGAATGAAGGGTGGAAAAGTGCTAAGCTTAGTGCTCCTTTTGCCATAGAACTAGTGAGAATGGCCATAAGCATCTAATGCTGCTAGGAGGGGCCATTCCCAAACCCCAGCCTTCCCTCAGTGGCTGTCCACCTGGCTTTCCACTACTATTGCAAAGACACAGTAGGTGGCAGAACCATGTCTGCCACCTTTACCTCTTGCACCTACCTAGGCACATGCCTACAGCTTGGGCTTTGGAAGGAGTGGTGAAATGAAATAAGGAAGAGAAAGCACAGCACAAATTCTGTAAATACTGAGTAGTCTTTTTCCTGTAAAACATCTATGCCTCATGACAATAGACTTGCTTTTATGTTTTCTTAGGCATCACAACAAGAGGCAACATTATGATCATGTCTCATAAGCCCATCCCTATTGTTTATTAGGTAATCCATTAATAACATGAGAAGTACATTCTCAAGGAGCAGGATAGCTCATTCCATTCAGAACTACAGCCTGCAAACCTTCCTAATGTACAAAATCCAGTATTATCTCACTGACTTGTTAGTCATCATGATGCATTGGCTACCATCAGCAATCCTGTGCAAGATGTGCCCTGCATCCCTTGGAAGGAAAACAGCAGGATTTAGTAAATCTTGTTGGGATTTCTGGCTCTTAGAACTTCTTCTAATACTGTAAGCAAAAATGTAACATTGATGAAAAAACAAGTAGCAGGATCCTTGCTATATACCATAAAGACTGCAAATGAAACCTTAGCTGGGCTCTTGGGAGGTAACAGGTCTAGTTATAGACCCTTCCATACAGTAGAATACTAGAACAGTAGAAGCTGATAGCTTCTTTTACAAGGAATTAGATCCATCAGAAAACCCAGTGAATAGTCTCTGCTTCCTTTGTTAGCAAGTCTTCTATGTTTTCAACTAGCCCCTCAGCAGTGAAACTCAATGCCTAGAAGTATAAAAGGATAATTTAGCTTGAAACTGATAATCCAACCTGAAGGTGCAAGTTTTGCAAGTTTAACCTCTTCTCTTCTTGTTGTTTTTTTCTTTTAATTTCTCTCAGCTCAGCGGCATTGTTTCTAAGCAACAGGAGAAAGCTGCAGTCCTGCGTGAAGCCATAGCCTAATTTCTCTGGGACACAAACTGTGTGGCAGACAAGAAAGGAACAGCAACATTAAGAGGGAATTCCTCCTCACAGATACCTGAAGCCAGAGAGGCTCCAAACCCAGCTCCTGATGCCTATTCCAAGAGCTGACACAGGTAGTGCATGGTTTGTGTACATGAGAGAGAGAACAGGGGGACAATATGCAGTAACACAGAGTGCTTACTAGGTCTGTCATTACTTTGTGTGTTATGCAGCAGAGGAGTAAAGCATGCGCTTCGATATTACAATAAATTGGTGGGCCAAATGCTGGCTTCTCTCTTTGTTGTGTTCTGTCAGGCCAGCTGTTACCTCATCTCTTCCAGCCTGTCCACTTCCCTGTCCATCCCTTCTTTGTACCACGTACATCTGATTAATACACATGCAGTGGGGAGAACAAGCCATGTGCCAAGAAACTCAAACAGCAGCAGGTCAATAGATTGCATTATATGAGAGCATATACATCACTGTGATGGGTGTGCAAGCAACCTGCAAGCTGACACTCAAGACTGATGCTCATATTAAACGAGCTCATACCCATTTCCCATTACCAAACTCCTTACTCCAACATTACTCCAACATTACTGTGCATGTTGTCAGGAAAGAGAAGACTAGATTTTTCTAAGCTTCTATTATAATCCTACCTGGGAAATGGTTTTGGTCAGGTTTTTGTAGAACATCTCCAAATGACCTATACTCTTTATCTATGATTCAGATTTGCTCACTGACAGAGATTCTTGTTAGGATGCACTTTTCTCTCTCCTAGATCCCATTGAGCTTATGTTACAGTGACAGGGTGGGTATGGAAAGAAAATGCCTGAAGAAAGAGATTGAAAAACTCCTGTAAGTAGTAACTGCCCACAGCTGCCTTCACTGCATTTAAGATGGCTTTGTTTTCATTGCAAAGGGTTGTACAACCTAGCTGTATGACAACTGTAAAACCTTAGTCTTCGCTTGCTGGAAAGTATGAACAGACTTCCTTTAAGATGTTCTTCATTTTCTTATATGCAATCTGAAGTGTGAGATCGGACTGTATATGTGACAGTAGAGATGTCACAGCCCAGAACTTGCTCTGTGTCAGTGGGAGTGACCAGGGAGGTACAGTGTTCCTCCCTTGCCCTTTAGCCAGTGCAGGTGCTGTCTGAGGGGTCTCCTAGTTCATGCAGCAGCATCTCATGCTCTTTGATGCAGGAGTGCCCAGCAGATAATTCCTAGGGGATGTAAGCAGTGTCCCTTCTGTTCCATAGAAGTCCTGTGCCTATCTTTCCTAGGAGCGCTTGCATGGATCAGTAGTACTTAGTTTGAGGACAGATTGCAGAATCCGGCCTCCCCTGAATGAAAATAACAAGCACCAGTGAAGCATCTCTTTCAGTCTCTTGGCTGTACAGTGAAATCCCTCTGTGAGTCCCCAGACATTAAATACTTGATTCATATTTGTATGTCTTCCTATATTTTGGAGCCTTTGGGGAAGACAGCAGTGTGGTTTGAGAGAAGCTAAGATTAGCAGTGATGCAGAAAACAACAGCTTTCCTACTTAGGAGGTGTCTGAGAAAAACGCTGCAGCAGATTTCTAGCCCTGAATCATAGCAAATTTAGCCCTGGCCTTGCACTAGCTTTATATTAATCTATTACATTTCTTATGAACTAGATAGCTTAGAACAATTTGTAATTTGAAGTTATTTTCTTGCTTTAAGGGGACATTATGTTGGCATCAGACTACGAGAAAATGAATTTGATCCAAGAGGACAAAGGCAACGCACCTTTCTAGATGACATGGTAATCACCAGACTGCTTCCTGTCCTCTTTAACTGCAGGGCTAATGAGAATTCTGAAGGATGGCTGTTTGGTACAGCTAAATAACCTGTTCCTACAATGATCAATAAAAGCCCATTACTGAAATGGGTGTCTAAAGAGATTGGCTGTGAATAGCATCCAGGTGTAACGTATCCAAGATAATTCAAGTTTTTGATGATTTTTCAGCAAGACAAAGCTCATCCACAGAGGACATTTGGTAAAGTTTAAGTCAGCTAACCAAAGGGAATTATTCACAAACTAAAGCTGACCGCGCATAACAAAACATCTTTCAGCTAAGCTGAGAAATTCTTACCGGATATGTTTAAAACCCCTCAAACCTCAGCAAGTGTCTTACAACTGATGAGTTACCCAGGGTAGCTGAGACAATACTGGGCTCCAGCTCACACTTCCCTGCATTTCTCTGGCCTTTCTATTATCCCTCAGTCAAGCAATCGCAGTAAAACAAAACACATAAGGATCTTCCATCTTTCCAGGTCCATTACAACTTATCCTTCAGTGTTGCTTTGCTGTGGCTAAGTGACTTGGGTGATCAGACTGCACTGACAAGAGAGAAAGTGTGAGTATTGCAAAACTAAGGCCCTGCTGTTGCAGTGGGTTACACCAGTGTGAAAATGGAGTAAAAGCAGCAGTGAATCGAGCCCAGGACTACTTTTTGCATTTATAACACCAGGCTAATAATCTTCTTGTTCAAAACACCATACAGGAATTTTGCAGCTCGCAAACGATACATGTATCCCAACCGAACTGAGAGAGAAGCCATGATATTATCTTCATATGCTGGAATATTAATGGTAAGAGGGAAAGAAAGATAGCAGTATCATTTGCTCTATGGCACCTGTCTAGAAACACTCCCTGTACCCTGGATGTCTCTGTTCATTGAAAGCACAGTGTACAGACAGTGCAAATATTACAAATCCATCTCATTTTTATCAGGTAGCCATTAAGTTTTGCTCAGTGTTAGAAAACAAAATAGGCAGTTTCAGTAGGTGGTCCTATGTGTGGGTATAGGTCACCCAAGCGCAAAACAGTGAGTAAGTTTCAGGACCAAATCTCAATAGATTTATACTAGCAGCATGAAACAGTATGAGAAGTTCATGTGAAAGCTGTTTCAGAGATCAAAGGAAGGGGATATGAGGTGGATTTCATATATTCACTTTAAAGAATATTGCTTCTGAGAGCTGAACCTCTCCCTTTACCTGTCTTTGCAGAACAGCATTCCTGTTGAAGAGATCTTTGAGATTTACAGCAAGAGGTCCTCAGCAACACACTGGCAGAGCTCTGCAAATGTGAGTGATTTATTGGGTTTTTTTCAGCATCTCTAGTAGGGTGAAGAGTGAAGATCTCTTACCTGTAGTGGCCTGGTCCAGCATGTAGTGCATTGGGCTGGTATTCTGGGAATGAGGTCCTCATATGGATTATTTCTCTTCTCGCTCAGAGTAAACACTGTTGAACTATTCCCTTCTCACATCTGCCATTATGGCTTAGAGCATTGTGGGTAGCCTTTGAGCATCATGAGGTATAAAACCTCCACGTGCAGTTGTAGTTATCCACGGGGGTACCTCATTCCTGC